TATCACAAGCACAGTTTTTGAAGGAAATAATCTTCAATTGTCCCAAAGGTATGTAATAAGAAATAACTATAAACAGAACGTTTGCGGCGAGACTTTGATCACTACTATATCTTTCATTCTTAGCACATTTTAAACCCGAACATAATGGATTCATACAATTAACACAAAATGATGATGACTTACGAGTAAAGCTTGATCAAAGGATCTGTTAATAAATTTTTTAAAAAATTACTTCAAGGACAATCAAATATCATAAGTCATATACGGCATAGAGTAATAAAATTGATATCTACGCATTGGATGAACATTGAAATTTCAATAGGTTGCGAGAGGGAATTTACCTCTTTGGTTATGTGAATAATAAGCTTTTGTACAAACAATCGCATTCCCTACAATTAGGTCCCTTCATAATTATTCTCTCTCTTTAATTTAATTAATATGTTAATTGCGATAGTGTAGGGAGTATACAAAGAGGGAAATTACTTCGAAAGTGGACACCCAGCATCAGTACACTGAAAATCTACATTTTTCATATACTGTATGTATTGGTAGCATTGTATCTTAAAGTCGTGATACGGAATACGTGATCACGCGTACGCGTGAACGCGATTTTTCAAATACAATTCTAACAGTATACTTATATGATATACTGTAGATCCCATACGTAAAGGTTAACATCGTACACATCACGAGTATGATCGTCACGTAACGAAATACGCCAAAACCGTTGATGTAAATCTGTGCCCAACCCTAACCCTCATCCAAAAAATTTTATACGGTGCCTTAAAATAGAACATAATATAATAACACTACTATTTTAATACGATATTAAGGAACAGACTATGCGTGTGGAACTCGCATTTCATTTGCCCGTGCATTCCTGTCACGTGACCAAAGTTCGAATGGTTTCGTGTTTATCTTATCTTTTTTAGAAGCTTCAGTGATATAAATGTTTTTGGTTCGCAAAAATATCGTAATTTTGTGCGTACACATGACAAATATGGTTTTATATTTTTTTTGGCATTCCACTTCTTTGTGATGTTAAACTAACGATAAATCATAGATGCAGTGGGTAGTTATGATATAGATTTACAGTTCTCCATTCCATTTTAAGGCGTTACCAGATACGCATAAAAGATAACAACTGTTATAGTTTTACTGGTATACTGGTATGAACACGCGCACATTGTCTCCTCTGAATAATAAAGCAATGTCACGAAATCCAGGTAAAGGCACGTTTATTCAAATATTGAAGAGTTTATTCTTGTTTTCAATCTATTTATATTTAACTGTGGATGCGCTCCAGGCTGTTCGCACGTATTTGTTCCATATGAACAAGACAGGGAGCTTCGTGGGCTCAAAAAAGCAGAGTTGATACAAAAGCTAGGTTTCGAAAGGGTTGAAAAACAAGGTAATATTATTAGTATAATGATATGCTGATTTCTTGAACATAATAATAAAGTTCAATATTTTCTGCATTACGATAGAACTTGAGAGAGAGATCAAGTTACTTAGAAAAGGTAACTTTTCAGAATTTTATTTATTTATTTCTATTTAAAAATAATAAAATTTTTATTTACGCCACAATTACTAGAACTAGAGAATAGGACCGCCGGTATTTTTCTTCTTTTGAACGAGGTCGAAGAATTAAGATTAAGAAATCAAACAATCTTTCTTGATTTATGTTTCTTAAAGGATCAATTAGAAAACTTTATTTTAGGTACTCAAGGTATTTATCGCTTTGTTTATACATACTCTCGTTTGCTATATGACTTAAGGACTAATGTGCCACTGGTTTTATATTAGAGTAAAAGGAGACTGCATTACATTAGATCATTTTACCTGATTTTTTTTTGTTGACAATTATTCGTTTTCTTTCTGCGCCTACGACGGATTTTTTGATCTACAAATTTCCCGAATTTGTCACGTGCAAACTATGCAATGTTAGTCGCCAATCGAAATAGCGTAACTACGTATTAACAAGCATTAATATTCAATATACTCTTCTAAAGTATTTACTCTTATGTATTTCACAAGAAAAGATTTAAAAAAGTCGGATCGATCAAATAAACATTTATAGTACGTATTCGTGGGTCTATGAAAAATTTTTTCTTTCTATTAATAAATTATCGTATATATTTAAATCTTAATTAATCCGAGTATGGCATACTTGATAATTTTTCTTTGAATGCAAGAGACCTGTATAAAAGTATGCACAAATGTTTCTTTTAAGAAAATGGTGCGTTTTGCATCTTCGTGTTAAGGGTCCACATAAACGAAAGGCGGAACGCTGCATGCATCACAAGATTCTAAAATACAAACAATCCTTAATTTCATTATCAACATATTGTGTATGTTGCACAGTATGTACTGTATTCATAAACAACGAGAATAAAACTAGAGCGTATGAATGATTGAAGCATTAAGAAGAGTTAAATCTGTCATACATATTGTATTCGAAGACATGCATCAGATATACAAAATACGTATATATTTGGATACACAGCTAATAATAAGCGAGGTTTTCTTTTTCTTATATTTCATTTATGCACATAGCGCGTGTTATTATATTTGGAAATTTTTGAACGGTAGTCATAAAACTCTCCCTTTTTAAATGACACCAAAAACGGGTTTCGTGAAAGAGCGAATAAAAAAATTTTTTTGACTATGTTGTAAAAAAATTTTTTTAAACTAGAAGGATGGTACATTGATGATAGAACACAACATAGTGTTTTCTTACATTGATATAGTTGATAAATGCTGGACTAATCGGATTTAGCAAAATCATGCGGAGTTCGGCAATCAACGTCGGATCTCCGCCGAATACGTAACATAAACTTCCGCATACTTTACAACTACTTACACATACTGTAGATAACCAATAGAATTTTTTAATACACAGAATGCGTAATAAAATTTTTCCGATATCTTGATGATCGCAGATAGACATTAAGTACTGTACGAAAGGTAAAAGCCGTGGAAGTTATCTAAAAACTGTCCTAGAAACGATTATAATCGATGTGTATAAACAACAGTTTATCTCGTTGATTTTGTTATGATTTATGTGAGCCGCTCACAACAATCAAACACCTCATAATGCAATACGTAGTTACGTATAGTGCTATGCTTTCTACGTATACAATATGTACGGTAATATACAGTATACGTATAACGTACATACCGCATGTACTGTATAGGTATGTCGTATATACAGTATCACTAACGTTTTCCATTAATAAGTGCGAAAGGGTTGAATCCTTTTGAAAGGCACGGAAGAGTGAATAAATTATCCTCGGGATTATGAACGAGACCATCAGCCACACCTCATATCCCTTTCTATTTGTTCTCTTGTTAAATAACTTCTCCTTTTCGCATGTAATAGCAATGTGTCGTGTTTTTTAACAGAGCTCTTCTCGGATGTACAGTATATGGAACAAGGTATTCGTACAATTTCGGATTCGAGTCATATATTAGAAGCAGAATTTGGGTTCGAAATTGAACGAATATTTTGTTCCAATGACTTTACAATAACCGAGAAATGTTTAGGGACTTTGAATATTCATTTGTGAAATATTGTTGGATGGGAATTGGTCATTGCTTGTAAGAGCTCACAAAAAGCTGTATTTACTGAATTTAAATTCGACGCATCATAAAGAATAAACAATAAAGAACATATGTTACCAATAACCACGAGTACGGTATGACCTGAGTGATAGATTAGATGGAGAAAGAAGTAAGTGAAAAGGAAACAAAGTATAGTATAACAGAATAATCAGAAATGTAGAATAGATGATAAAAAATAAAGTCTGCTCATAAAATATCAAATAAATAGCATAAAATACATGTTAAAGGAATAATTATGAACTAAATGGCATCAACAAACCAGTAATGAAATAGAATAAAAAACCAGTTATGAAATAATAGTCTTCAAAGACTAATAAGATATTTGAAATAGTTTTTTTTTTGTTTTTTTAAACTTTTTTCCTTTTTTTTTTTTGTTTTTTAAATTTTTTCCTTTTTTTTTTGTTTTTTAAATTTTTTTTCTTTTTTTTTTTGTTTTAATTTTTTTTTTCCATTTCCTTTACATACTTGTTTCTCTTTTCTATTTCTTTCTTTATAAGAAAAGCTTTAAATCCAAATGAAAAATAAAAATAAAGTATACTCGATATATAATATGAAAAGACACGAAGGCGCGATAGACAAGGATTCCTTGAACTCAAAGTATAGGCGTACCGAGAATTTATAGATGAGGGGGAAAAGTCACCGTAGCAACCGTCACTCGCGGTTGCTTTAATCTACGTATAAAGAGAAGAGGAAACGTAAATGAGTTGATTGTTTATGAAATTAATTAACGTTATTTCACTTTTCAACTTGAAATAAATACATATACTCGTATGTATGTATGTATATAGTATATAATAAGAAGTAAGAGCATTATCGATATGAGAAGGCAGAAAAGAAGTCCACAGGTTAATGATCATTCGTAATAACATGGGACCTCAAGTAATGCCTTCGAAGGAATTACATTCCCACATAGTAGAGGGTGAAGCATCAAAGTTTTAAATTTTAGCAATCGACAGACATAGCATACAAACAAAATTCCTTTCATATTTAACTCTGCACTATGTGAAGTTCATTTGCATCCTCCACCATAGGAATGGCTTAAATCCACAAATTATGATTAAAACTCATTTAAATGATAATGCCAATCTTTTCATCCTTACTTATACAATAATTTAATATGGAATGGATGATATCCGCTGATTTTAATCCTCAGCTACATAATTTCATCCACACTTCATAAAAAATTATTTTCCTCTAATAACATCATTACCATGTCTATAATGGGAATTTCCCCAGAGCATAGCAAATTCTCAAAAACCCCATTAAAATGTCTGGCTCTTCATATAGCATCATTAATCTTGCATATGCGCAATTTTCACGATTAACTCGGAAAACATTGCGAATGCTCTTCCATTCAATAATCTGACCGACAAACGTTATAACTTAAATATTTGAAATTTACCTTTGATATTATTCTTGTTTGGTTGAAACTCTCCTCGGCCGTACTCATTGTAAAGCACTGTTCTATTGAAATGACTCCAAAATTCTAGGAATTGTCGATTGAAGTTGGAAAGACTTCCTGAATTTATCTTATTATTATACATATAAACCAACTTATTTATCCAATCTAGCAGTATCAGGTTGTGCACCTTCTGCTTATGATAAGGCTTGGTTTTGTTCATGGTTTTTATGTTATTTAGTAGTTTTTTTGTTTCCTCAAGTCCATTGAATTTTAAATATGCTTCATCTTTCGCAAGTGAGTCATTCATAAACTCGAAAAAAGGATCAATGACATCTTTAGAATTGGATTTGCAGAGAATTAACAAATGATAATTTTTAAATGAAACTTTGGCCGCGCAGTAAGTTGAATATATAGAGCATATTGCTTTGCATGCGCTGGGTGTCATCTCTTTAGGTACAGTTTGACCCGGGCGATTTTTTAATTGAATATCAATCCACACACGAGCGATTAAAATGTCATCAAAACACCTTTCTATAATTTTGAGCTCGTGCCCAAACTCCTCAAGATTCCACTTATAGAATATCGAATTGAGAGTGAGTGAAACTATTCCTGTTGGCCTATCTAACATCCTATGAATTTTTTTCATCTCATTTTTTCTTATTCCTACTCCTGACTTATCGAGTATTTCATTGACCACTTTTGCTTGAAACTTTGGTTCAATATAATTTTTCAGAAAATTCAATACATTGGAATTTCTCAAATTCTTTCCAGGTTTCGCGATCTCTTCCAAACATTCCGATGCAATTTGTGAACACGTTTCTTCTTGAATTTCCTGAAAGGCCTTGATCATCACATCTCCAATGGTTTCTAACTTTTGCTCGAAAATGAGAAATGCGTCGGCCATCACGGATGTGGACAAGTGAAACCCTAATTTTGTGAGTTCTGCAAGTTTGCTCACGATCTCACACACCTTTGGTTGAACGTAAGTGTCTAAAGGATTTGGAGGGAACAAAATTAGTAATGCCCCTTGTAAAACCAAGTCGTTTACGTCTCTGCAGATTTCAACGTATCCTATAGATTTCCATAAGTCTACTAGGGTAGGGCAGATTAGTATCGCTCTCGCGATCACATTCAACTGCCTGTCATTTTCATATCCGTCTTTAGGGGGGTACTCCTCGGGTGCTTGCGATCTTTGCAAGTATTCAACTGTATCAGTAAACTTTACTTTTGGTCTTGGTGGCAGCGGGATGAATAACATTTTTAAAATTAATTCCTTGATGAGCTCATAATTTTCTTTAAGCTTTCTCTCGGCCTGACTAATTATCAACGGGCCTGCGGAAAGAAAGTGGAACAATTCCATATCATTTCCTTTGATATTCATATCTTCTTCTTTAAACCTATTATATCCTTCGTTTAAGATGGCCACAAAGACATCAACCGGAAGGTTACTGGCCCACGGGTGAAGGTTTTGTCTTTTTAAGTCATTGATCTTATTCGTTTCCGCTGTGCAAACATTATGTTTGGCTTTTAATTCGGTAAGCTTTGAATCATATTCGCCAAAGTGAAGAAGAAGTCTCTGGATAAAGTATCTCGAGAGACTAGCTTTATTAGAGAGCAATGATTGTACCACCTCCGCGTTTATAAATTTAGGACCTAAACGCACGGCATGAAACAGTGCATATGATTTTCCGTATTTCTTTATGAGCCACTTTGCTCGGGCGTGCGGATCTTGTATGACTTTTGCCCAAGCCTTACACGTGACTCCAAGGTCTAATATATTGGTCGTATGTTCAAAAATCAACACTTTTAACTCTATTATTAAATTTTGGAACACGCTCGTCGAGGCCATTTTTGGAAACTCATCAATTTTGGTTTTACATCGTGGGGGGACGCTTTATTTATAATTATTTATAATTTCTGGTTACATTTCTCTATGCCGTTGCTCTGTTGAAGTTACACGAATATTTGTTTTAATCGATAAACCACATTTACTGTATTGCGCATACAAAAAGAATATGAAAACATACAATAGAGAAGGCTAAAATTCCTCTCGTGTTATAAATGTTAGCGATGGTTAAATATCTTTAATAAAATTATATAATCCTGATTGATTTCCACCAAGTGTTCTTTATGACGGAAGAATAAAACGGAAATATAGAGATTTATATGGTACGTAATTCCGAATGCCCGGAGATATGATCGATAGATTGCGGCGGATAAAGAAAGCTATTTTGCAAGACACTAATCTTTGAAGATTAGTAAGTTGCCAATTTACGTTGTTAAAATGAGATTATCCAGCTGCATTCGAATGAACAAGTAAAAATTTTTCCATTAAATCCATTTATTATATTTGAATGGCACCTTCTTTAATATTCCCATTTAGTATCGGTTCATAATGAGAAATTAAGGAAATTGTTATAGCGGAGAGTTCAAGATGCAATGGGTACGGACTTTCGGAGAATGCCTTATAAATCTATCAATAATCCAACCAATCAGATGTTTTTAACATATTATTTAATGTGCCTAGTTTATTCTTATTGTAAAAATTAGTGCATCGATGCATTTTCCAATAATAGATTTGGATATATTATGCACCGGTTTGTATTGCACGCGAGTATTAGGAAAAGAAAGAAAAGAAAAGTTCAACAAATAATTAATGTATACTGTACGTAACAGATCTAAGATAAAGCGGTCGATCATTTTTCTAACAATCGTTCAATTGATGATCATCTATCTTTGATACTTGCGGAGAGTACGCATCAAAAATTTATATACTTTTGACGGTAAAAAATATAACAGTACTGACTATTAAAAGTAACAAATTTTTAAAATCGAAGACCACGAATAAACTGTATGAATAGTATATAATATTATCGCATACGCACTGGGTATATCGAAGTTTTTTTTTATCAATTTTCATTAATAAAATTACTTGAATATAACGAAAACCTGCTATTGCATGCGAAGAAAAGAAATGTAATTCATTACTTCGTTATAACCTCATTCACTGTTAAAATGATATACGTATACAGCAAAATTTTTTTAAATGTTAGTTGGATAATATGAAGACTTTATGTATATATTTAATCCATTATTTTTTATTAATATTGTTATTTTAACAAACAACAATGTTTTTATTTAAGCGAGAAGGAAAAAAAGTATAAAGAAATAAGAAATTTTTTAAAAAAAAAATACTCTTTTTTTTTTATGAAAATCCAAAATTCGATCATATAAAAATTATTAAGGCATTTTAGATACGTAAATCGAAGGTATAATTTAAAAATTTCATTGTTCGTTACTTAATTATAAATATTATAAATATAAATTATATAAAGTGTTATTATTTTTTTAAAAAAAAATCAACATATTAAATTATATTAATGTAAAAGAAAATTATAAATATTAATATTACAAATAATATACTGTATTTATTAACATTTATTTATTTATTTATTTCAGTTTACAAATATACTTCCTGAAATCCTAGTTATATACAAAAAAAAAAAAACGTTACAAGAAATTTTATACTTCTTTACTAATACAAGTCTTTATGCTTTTCTTAATACATCTTTAAAATAACTTTCAAGAATTATATTAACCCTTTGCTACTTTTTTACAATTCTCTTTAACAAAAACTTGAATCTCTTGTAGTTAATTAAAATAATCGTGTCACCTTTTTTATCAATAGTAAAAAAGTTATAAATGAAAAATAATCGACTATAAAATAGTTTAAATTCTAAACAATTTAAAAGGAAAATTTGATCTTATTACACTTTACTTATGAGATTTTTTGATAAATAATTTATTGAATAAATTAACGTTTTTTATGTAAACCATAAAATAATAAAAATAATTAGATTAAGGATTCTTTTAAACTTAAACCATAATAAGAAATAAGAAAAATAAATATGTATTTTATAATAAAACTCGACTTAGTTTTTTTTATTTATTTATATTTTTATCACTTTATATCTACATATATTTATCAATTATAATTTTTTAAGAAATTATATTGTTAAATTACTAAAAATATATAAAATATTTTGAAATATTTATTTTTGTAATCTTTTTTCTTTTTCTTTTTTAATACAATTATTTTGAATTTATTTATATTAAACTAAGTAAAATTCAAATTAAATAATAAATTAAATTACCTTTTAATAATAAACTAGTTTTGAGTTCAAGTTTCTTTTTATATAAAAGAAAATTATATAAATTACTTATAATTATTAACTACTTTTATATATAAATTCAATTAAATCTAACTATTGTGCTTCTTTAAAAAATTTTTTGACAAAACTATTATTCAATTTATAAAATTCAATAATTTCAATAATTTTTTTTAAGAGGCAAAACAGGTCTACTTTATTAGTATAGTATCAAGACATATTACTTGATTCAGTAAAGCAATTTTACAGACTCATTTTTTTTATGCTCTCTGTTACTATGTTACTAAAAAACTAATTGGTTAATAGAAACTCCTTATGGCATATTGCTTCTGTTGTAGAAAACTAACATGCTTAGACTTCATTAGTGACTTCCATTAAGATCTAAAAGAGATTTTGTATTCTCAAAATTATCTCACTCAATATGTCATCTTGAATTTCATATTGCTTTTTTATGGTGTCTCCTTTTGATATCTTGTGTTTGTTATGTTTCCATTTTTGTTTCTTGATATTGGTGGTTATACCTTGAGTCTTCTCCCACCTTATCATACTGTAATATCTGTCTAGCCAGATATAGTATATTATGAATCTAGTATGTTTGACAATTGACTTGATCATGTCTATCAGCTTGTCTCATTCTAGCCTAGTTATTATAAGATTATTGAGGGTCCTGCTAATCCCTCCTCTAAAGATTAATACTTTTAAATATTGAGTATTTACATGTACCTCCTGTACGATATCTGTTTGATAATCCCTAGATTCATTTTTGTTGTTTATCTTTTTGATGATACATTTGTTGATTTCTTCATATATGTCTATGTCATGGTGCCTATAGATAAAGGGGTGTACATTGTCTTAATTGTTCATGTAGCTGAGGCATTGCTTATTTTTATATAGGTCAGGTGACCTTTTATGAAGTTTGTACATGGTAGGAAGTTCCTAGTTCCAAAGTTTTATTGTGAATGTATGTTGAGTATGATCCCACCAGTCGATGTGGTATAAGATTATCACTATAGAGTAAATATTTCTGAAACTCAGCTTTCAGTTTATTAATTTTCTGATTTGTGGAGCTATTATTTGTTTCGTTTGAAGTTGATCCAGTTAAAGATATAAGTGGCCTGTCAGATTGTTTTAATTATCTTTTATATTGGTTTTGGTGTCTCTATACTTCTGTTGAAATGGAAACTGAGTAGTTTTTGGTTGAACATGTGTATAGTGAGTATTGTGGGTTGTCTACCTTGTGTTTTTTAAATGTTTCCTGCACCAATGTATATGCTCAAATATGTGTTGGATCTTTGCTTTGCTGGCTATTTATGCCAAGTGATGTGTTAGTGAAGCTGTTCTGTAATTTTATTTGTATCAGATATAAGTCATACCTCTTCTATTTTGTTTATTTGATTTTTTTGTATAAGTTTCCCTATATTCTGAATCAGAAGTTGAGAGTCTGTATAAATAGTTATTTGTTTATTATATCCAGTTACTGCTACTGCGATGGTTGCTGCTAAGATCTCAGCTCTTAATACTGATGCTTGTCCTTGGATTTTGAAGTTTAGACTGTGTATTGTTTCATTTTCGCAGGTAAAGATTATATCAATTCCCATTAATTTTTTATTTGTTGATTTATTGAAAGCTCTGTCTATGTGAATTGAGAAAGATGTTTTGTCTTTTAGTATTTTGATAATTTTATTACACTTGCTAATTGTTGTGCTATCCATTATGAAAAATAGTTTCAAGAAGTTGATGTTTGTTTGCCAGTTAGAAATTTCCATTACTTCCATCTTTTCATTTGGCATGTTCCACCATCTTTCTATACTGTTCAGTAAGATTTGTGAGTATCACACCTGTTGACCAGTTGTGAAGTTATTGGAATGGTTGGATATGGATATTTTTATTACTGGAATAGCAACTGCAGTATGTTTTAAAATTTCAATGCAGCAGTTGTCCTCTCTTTTGTCCTTTATAATCATTAGGTTGTATTCTCTACATGGTTTTATTGATGACAAGTTAGTTTGGTTGTAGTGTCTGATCTTTATCACATGGTCTATTTTACTAACTACCTTTTTCATTATCCTTTGATTATTTACTTGTGAGGTGAATCACTTGGAGCTATTATAGTCATTACTGATTATATGAATCTAGGCATTTGGAATGAGTTCTGATATAATTATTCCTTATTATAGTACTTTGTCAACTATGGTCCTGAGCTTTTTGTATCAGCTTGATTCCTTTCTCTTGTTTGACTTGTTGTTAACTACCCTACTTGGTGTCAGTTAATTGTTTTCATTTAAAAAGTGTCAAAGATCTAGTTGACGTGTGATATTTGATGCATTCTGAGATGAAGTCAATGTTTTTTTATCCATTTTAAATCTGTAAAGAGTTCGATGTATGTTCCTTTGAACCTAATAGGTGCATATTCAAAGTATGTGATCTGAATATTAATTTCTTGGAGCATTCTAAGACCATCCTGTAGAAAGTTGTTAGTTGGTTTGTGAACTTTTGAGCAATCTTCTAAGATATTTCTATCCTACTATGCCCTCCATTGAAGTTGATTGATTCTGAGTCTTGTGATTCTTCCTACTGCATTGTTATTGTGGTATAGTTTCTGTAAGTTTGCTGCAAACTTCTGGCATAGTCTTGAGTACATTTTAATAATTTTATACATTGTGAATGAGTGTATTATTGA